AAAAAAAATCAGTTTTCGAATAGATCACTAAATTTTGCTGACAGTCTAATACACCGTGCATATACATACATTTGTATATTCCAATCAGCTAATGCAACAAATTGATTTTTCAAATCAAATGTATAAAAGAAGCAAAAAAAATTTTAATGCAAATATACATACCGTTTAACAATGTCATTAGAGCAAAAAAAAAATTCAGACTTTCTGCTCTGTATCCAATGTAAAAGTAAATAAAAAAGAAATAGCTGATGTAAATACTTCAGCATTTTTCACTTGTTTTTCACTTCCTTTTTACTTCTCCGCTCCCTTTCCTCCTCTACCTTCAACCAGTCTCAAACTGAGTTAATAATGCTTCAAAAAAGCGTAACATCAATTTGAAGAGTTGATAAAAAGAAAAATTTGAAATGAAAATGAAAAATGCTAAAGAATTGAAGTACAAATGAAAAAAATAAAAAAGATAGATACTTTTGCTCCTGACGTTGTCGAATCTTCTTTTGTGCTCCTGATGGTATACGACGAAGCATACCCGGCTGATCCAAAACTGACTGTGCGTGGTGATTGCGGGTAAAATTCTGAATTCAAAAAGCAAATAGTTGGTGTTTTGAAAGTGTTGCTGTAATTGAACTGAACTGTACACAGATCTGATACTGCGCTGTGACGGCAAAGAAAAAAAAAAGAATGAAGAAACAAAAAATGGAATGAAATATGAATACAGGATTACCGAAGCAAGACTGAGACAAAGGTACCCGCGGGGGGTGTTGGGTGAGAAATTGAGTTGGGACCTTCAAAAACGCACTGGGGTAGAAAATGAAACAACGAAGACAAGGGAGAAGAAACAGTGAAACCGACGAGGGAACGACTCAAACGAATGAGGGAAAGAAAGGACGCGGTGATTTAACAAAGCTTGCTATACCATTATAAAACGTCCACGTCTAGTACAGTGTAGAATTATAAAAACGAATGAAAAAGGAAGAAAACTGGTGCTGGATTAGAGCGGAAGTCGTGCACCAAATATACACTAGCAGAAAGTTGAAAGACACTGCTGATGTTAAGTATAAAAAAAGAAACTCTAGAAGGAGTGAAATGTGCGTAAAAGGAGTTTGTAAAGAAGGAGTAAAAGGAAAACAAAAGGATGAGAAAGGACTAGAAACAGTGTATCTATAATAGTCAAAGAGACCAGGTAAAAGACAATAAATCTATTCGTGTTTACGTACGGTATGGTGGTGGTGAGGGGAGAGGAGTGACCACGGAAGAGAAAGAGAAGGAGGAAAAGGATTGGGAGGAGGAGCTGCAGAAGGAAGAGGAAGCGTACTGTATGCAGAGAACGACTGCTGTGGAGCGACAACAATAAATATCTACACATATGCGTATGTGTATAACAACGGCTGTGGGTGCTCCGTTTGTTGGGAAAATACAGCGATGGCGGAGGGGAAAGGGGACGGGGTTGTTAAAGGGCTGTACAGAATAGGAGACGGCGAGGGGAACTACGACAGGGAGATGGCACCTCAATTGGGCACATGATTATTATGATGACGATGATGACGATGGGTGTTTGCAAGTGGACAACGAGCGCCAGCAGCAGCAAAACCGTTGGTAGAAGAAGCAACGGCAGCAGCAGCATCATCATCCATACCACCATCATCGTCATCACTGTAACTAGCATCAGCATCATACACTAAAAAAAGCCTCGACGTGTGACTCACTTGTTGTTGTTGCAGTTGCTGAAAGAGCTTTTTGCTTGCCGCACGATTTTTGCAGGCCACAGTCGTTAAAGTATCGGTATCGTATTCCATATCGATCAACATTTCGTGTAACAGTTTAAGTCTGCTTTCTTCCTATATAATTTCGTCTTCCTTTTTTTTTTTTGATCCACCTGTAATCTTAAGAAATCAATTCAAAAATAAAGGTCATATATTAAAACTGTAAACGGTAAAAAGCAACAAAAGTGGAGGCGGTAAAGATATAAAACGCAAAAAAAAACGAAAAAAACTGATATCGCTCGGATATGCAAGATAGAAAGTAATGGACTGGGCCAATTTTGCTCATGAAAGTACAAAATATATCAATAAACATAATACGATACAGACAACACAACTAATCATTGGTCATCGTCAGTATTATCCGTTTCAACAGCAGGTTATAGTGGCCAAAGATAAAAGAAACGAATGAACAAATCGCCAAAAAAGTGACAAGCATAAATGTTTGATTTAAAAAAAAAAAAAAAACAATGTTCTTTTTCAACGCCATTTTTTTCCACCTTCAATTTTTGTTATGAAAATAAGACAAAAAAAAAGAAAAAAAAAATATTTTCCAAAGAAAAAAAATTGTCCAATTTTCTTTTTGATCTTTATTGCCGTTTTTCTGTTAACAAGGTGTTTATCGGTTCATTGATTTGAATGTCCATAGTTTACGGTGTTGTTCTTTTGATTGACATACACTAAAGTAATCAACACCACATATCGGTATAATTATAAACCTTTATAAAATTGATACTACGAATACAAGACTAAAGAAAGAGTGAACGAATGAAAAAGAAAAAAAGCCTGTTTACCTAATCAATGACCTATGAATCTAATAAAAAGAAAAATTCCACTTAACATACCGAATCGTTCATTTGTGAGTTTGAAAACTTAGAAAATTGAACAGACCATCAAATGCGAAACCACGCTGGAAAGGGGCAGTCGACGAAGGTGACGAGGAAGAAAACATAATTTGCAATATTTTCAAAATAGCTACGACGGATTAAATGTAACGTTGTCTATAAGTTAGATACGTCACTAAGTATTATATGGCTACCACCACTACCAGCAGCAGCAGCGACAACAATAACAACAGTTTAGTCAGCGCTCCTGTACCACCGAAGCAGCTACTGAAATCAACAGATTAAACTAAATCAATGAAACAGTTACTGGAGCATTAATATGCTTTTACTTCAAAAAATACTTTGAAAAAAAAGATTTGTTAGAATATTCAAGTAAAGAATAAACTAAAAAAAGGCAAATTGTATAGGAAAAGCTCCGTCATTAAAATGAACAATACCAACTGAATGCCGATGAGTCAGTAGTTAGGAGAAAAAAAAAGAACTGAACATGCCAAACATTTTTTTCTCCCTTCACTTCTCTCATCGTTCTTATTGAAAACAGTAATGATGATGAATTTAACTAACCAGCTGATCGCTACTGTGTCTAATCTTCACTCTAAATTCTAATGATGACACATATACACAAACGAACACACACATAGATACACACATACACAGCAACGCAAACACACAGACTTATTTGAATGTCCAACACAAAGGTATGTACCAAAAAATAATTACTAGATGATACTTATCCACCTGCTAGTCAGTACTCAGTACTATTTAGTCTCTAAACCTCTCGATGGTACTTGTTAGCCAATGTAACTTCGGCAACAATGACAAGAACAACATCAGCAGCAACAACAATAGCAACAACAGTAAGAGCAACGGTACTTGGTGGCTTCGCCATTGATTCGGATCAGATCCAATATTATCGAAATGACACTTTTTTTTGAACAGCATCTGTAACAGTGTACTCCGTACCTCAACAAAAGACTTGATGATATTCAAGTAAATATGTCATTCGAAAAGCATTGGATGACAATATACGAATAGTTTGAGAGGCGAACTATAACTGATGAATATGTAACTGGCATAGCTCAACGACTGTCAAAGCAACAAATATTTGTAAGATGTAAAATCTTAAATTTTATCAGTGCAACTGGGCTATCAAATACAGTTATTTGTAGTAATCTTTATAACAGTTTGATATTCCAGCCACTGTTTAGATGAGTAAAATAAGCTGACAGCT